TGAATACAGTGAGGGAATGATTTGAAGAGTTTATAGTTGAAAAAAATCTTACCGTTGGTAATTAATAAATAATAAACAGGTATATTTTGAATAAATATTACAAATGTGTTCATTTCTACAAAACAGACTTTGCAATTTTTTTCTGTGGGAAACCTGCTTGTTTCAGAACCAGGTGGTTCTCCTTCCTGTACTCCCTCTTCACATTCACTTCCTGTAGATTTAAAGGAYCTGTTGCATCACTTCCTGTTGTCCAACTGCAGCTTCTTATTGGCACACAGAAGAAACAAGWCTTACACAAGGATTAAAGTTTCTAACCCATTCTTCTGTAGAACATTGGGAATTTAAACAAATATTAATAAGAATAGTGATAATGATGATAATGATTTGTCGTTCATTTCAATTTGAAGCAGAATGGTTCTGCACATATGCTTTTTAAACTGAACACCTGAGCTGACTGGTTTAAGATGATCCAAACATTTTCCTTTGTTTGTGATGATGTTAATGTTAGGTCTTTATTCTGAGAAGAACTATATAAAAACTAAATGCTCCAGTCTGATGTTTGTGTCCAGGTTATCATTCAGGACAGAACTAGTTGTTATTTTAGCAGGTGATGAGTTCAGCTTCTGTTCCTCTGCTGGGTTTTCATGTAGTCTTGTCTCATCTCTGCTCAGGGACACGTCTCACTGCTTTTCAGATGGAACTTATAGACAGAACACCTGGAATAAAGTGGTTTTACCTTGTTTGGTCTGGATCCATCTGGATTCTGTTGTGTGAAGCAGATCCTGTTTTCAGGAGGTTTTATAGATGGTGGGTTTGGTTCTTGTGAAGGAGATGCTCTCAGTGACCCGCTGACGTCATGTCTTCAGCTCCACTCGGCTGAGTTGGTCCTAAAAACTCAGAAGTGCATGGGACCAGCCAGTGGAAAGCCTGAGCCTGAGTGGATCTGAGTAGAACCGGGTTGAGTGCACGGACCAACCTAAACGCTGAAATCTGCTCGCTGGTCTAACCTCTGGTGTCGACCTGAAGGCAACATCCAAGCCACAAGTTTCAGTTTTTACTGTAATGTGAGCCATTTCCTGCCCCCTCGTGTTTCACTCAGTAGTTTTCTCAGTTTTATTTGATTGTTTTGGTTTTAATGTGTGAATTTTATTGGTTTGCAGTGGGCTTTTATTTGCTCATCACAATAAATTTAAATTTCGCACTCAGAAACAAAGAAAATAATTATGTTTTTGTTCTTTTTGTTTGTAATTTCATACAACTTGAGTATTTAAATTAGGGTTGGGCAATATTGGCAAAAAAAAAAAATCACAATTAATTGTGGTATTTAGCCGATAATGATAAATTTGATGATTAATCTCCTGGAGTCCCTGGACACCCTTATGTCCTGGTCACATGACCAATTGGGGAACTTCCATTGACTTCCATTCATTTTTTTAGACTTTATATCCTAATAACCATATACCCTAAGAATGAATGAATGAATGAATTTTATTCGTAAGGACAATGTGCAATTACAACAAACGTAAAAACATTTGATGCATTGCACCAGATTTAGCCTACAGCTAGTTTACATCTGCAGTCCTCCTAATAATAAAAACAAAACAGCATCCAACAACAATAATTAAAACAAGAAAAGAAAATAACAGAAAAATAAAAACAATACAAAATAAAACATTTTACAATCAACAATAAAAATACATAAACACCCCACCCAACTCTCCAAACACAATTAAAAGGTTATATCTCTAAACATTCAACAAAAACCCCGCAACTCCCCCAAACCAAAAGCAAACTGTAAAATCGATTACCCAGTGCGATTCAGTGATTGCAACACTGAGTAGTATATTTAAAATACTTTTTAAAATTATTTTTTAAAACTATTAAAAGAACTACAGTTTTTTACACGATCAGGAGAAGCATTCCACTGAGCGATGGCTTTAACCGAAAAAGCTGCTTGACCAAAGGCTGAGCGTCGAGCAGAAACTTCACAGTTCTGCCTGGATGTTCTGGTTAAGCGCAAAGAAACAACTGAACGATAATAAACAAATTTTTGCTAACAGATTGGCGCCAAACTGTTTAAAATTTTATATACTGTTTCCATATTTGAGAAAACTCTAAAATTCTCAAAAGAAAGCAAGTTATATTTCTGCACAATCTGACAATGATGGTGTCTTAAGGGCTTGTCAAATATTTTGAGGGCTTGTTTGTAACAAGACGCTACAGGTTTTATTACTGACAGTGGTTTGTCCCCAACATGAAATTCAATATGAAATGTGTGAAAAATGAATGCATGCATGAATATCTTGGCCGCTTCCAATGACAAACAAGATCTAACATGTCTAAAATTGACCAAGTTATATCTAACAGTTTGGGTCATTTTTTAAAATGTTTGTTGTAGTTAAGGTTTGAATCCAAAAAAACTCCAAGATACTTAAACTTACAGTATCAATTTGTTTACCCTTGATGTAAATGTTTAAATTTGAGGCGTCCAATTTAGTCTTAGAGGAAAAACATACTTTTTGTTTTGTTTACATTTAAAGTAAGACAGGATTGATTTAACCAATCAACCACTCCCTCCTGAGCTTTGGTTAATTTCTCAGCCGCAAGTTGAGTCGTTTTAGCATGCGTGTACAAAACAGTGTCATCCGCATGTATCTAGACTTCTACATCATGACAAAACTTTGGAAGGTCATTGATGTAAAGACTAAAAAACAGGGGTCCAAGCACAGATCCTTGTGGTACACCCATTGTGCATTTTAGGAAATTGGAATGTAAATCATTAATTTTAACACATTGCGTTCTGTTACATATATATATGATGCCAACCAAGAAAGGGTTTTAGATGAGAAATGAAAGTTTGATAATTTGGAGAGAAGAACTTAGTTATTAACTGTATAAAAAGCTTTATGCAAGTCTAAAAAACAGCACCAGCAACTCCACCTTTATCAAGTAGTCATATCTGCTCTGTAAGGTGTGTGATGGATGTTTCTGTTGAGAAATGCTTCCTGAAGCTAAACTGTACAGGGCTTAAACC